TCTCAGACACATGTTTAACACTTAGAAGGATATGGAAGAAAGACTGAGGAGAGGCCTGCTCCCTCTGCTTTGAAATCTAGAGAAAAGCAGGAGTCCAGTTCTAGAGGAAGCACAACCATCAGAAGCTGTCAAGCAGAATGGGGAATGCCATTTAGCAAAGAGCCTTCAAAAGAAATGGCCGCTCTCCATAGCCTTGAAGGCAAATGAGGAGTTAGATCTGCCTTGGGCTAAGCAAGACAGTAAATAAGATGGCTGGGGAGAGAAAAGGCAGTGGCAGACAGTCAGAATTAAGCACATGTAGAAAAGGGGTAGGTTCCCACATGAGCCATGAGACAGGCAGTACCTCTCACTAAACACTGGGGCATCACCGAGCCCTACAGAACCCTTCCTAGACTGGGAAGCAAAACCCAAATACTTGGAATCACTTCCAGGTTAAAAAAAAAAAAAAAAAAATCTAAGGAAAACAAGTTATAGACTTTCACTCTGTGAGTGAACATGGCTCCCAGCTGGTTGAGCACAGAGCCAGAGAAGTCAGCAGATCCTATGAGCCTAGAATCAGGTAATACAGGCTCAACTGGTCTAACTGCTGCACATAGAGATGGTGTGTGAGTGCTTCACCTTCACAATGAAGGTAAAGGTACAAACTTATGCACTTGAATAAGCCAAGTCTTTCTCAGAAGATCCCAAGTGTTAGGGTTCCAAACAGCAGCAGTCCACCCCCCCCCCACAGGGACCTCACCTTGACCTTTGAAGTCAAGGGAAACAAACTCTGCTGAGAAGCAGCCTGCCTTTCCTCTGACCTCCAAAGATAAGATAAGCAGATTCTACCTGATAACCAGAGATTTTAGAAGCTGTTTTTCTCTTATCTTAAGAGGGAAAAAAGTAAACACTTCCAGACCCTAATCCTACCTGCTTTTCCTGCTTCCCCCTCCCTGATTTCTCCCTCAAACATTCCCCCTTCTACACCCTAAAGCCCCCATATAGAAAGTCCCAGCTCACAGCCCATAGGCTGACATCTTTCCCTGACATCTTTCCTTTCCCTGACATCTTTCCCTTCCCCAAGGGAAAGGTGCCCCGTGCAAAATAAATCTGTATCCCACTGAGAATTCCATCTGTGCCTTGGTGCCTTCCTCCATCCATCCGCTCGTGCTCTCCACTGCACGCTCTCTCCCAACTTTTACCTATCACCAAGCAGCCTGTGTTAAGAGGAACATGCTCTTGTTTTGAAAGGTACGGTACACATTTTAAGCAGTATCATTCTTACTCTTTAATTTTTCTCTTCTCTAAAACTTGTTTGGGCATGTGCACACTTGTGCAAACACACACAGAAGACTTAATTCTGTATATAAAATAAACATTACAGCCCCCAGATTCTTCTCACTCAGCTCCTCTTGCACATTTCTTGTGTACTGTTTCCTGCTCCATGCATTCTTGTTACTGTAGAGATTCATTCTGCATTTTATTTTAGCGAGTGTGGGGAAACTTCATCACTCATTAAGGCTAAAATTAAGCAGATATATTTAGAGGCTCTAGCCCAAGTACTGGATAAAGTTTCTCCACATGTAAACATTTTGTGACATGGGAAGTCCTGTCACAGAAGACAAAACTGGGATTCAAAACAGACAATTTTCAGAATTGTAACAGGCTAGGATTTCATAGATCTGGACTGGTCATTTTAAACAGATGAGACTCCTATTGAGAAATAATTCAGGAAAAACCCACCCTTAAAAGAAGTTATTTAGGAAATAACTCAGTGAAAGTCATTTGATAGAGATCAAAATATGACTTTTGTTTTGTTTTTGCTTGTTGGTTTGTTTGGGGTTTTGGGGGGGGCAGTTGAGACAGGGTCTTCCTGTAGCCCCAGCTGGCTTTGAGCTCACAAAGATCTCCCTGCCTTTGCCTCCCCAGTGCTGGGATTAAAGGAGTATACCACCATGCCTGGCAAAAAGCTGACTTTTTAATGGTGATTAGGGCTGCTCTTTCAACAGTTTGCTGGTAAAAGAACATCAACTGATAAAAGAACAAAAATAGTGGCATGTTCTCTGAATTCTTTTAGTGAGAAATTTGGGAAAAACAAGCTTTCCAGATACCTGATTGCTAACCTTTTCTGTTTCTAAATTTTAAACTTTTACTGAGGTATTTATAGAAGCATTGCTCAGGAGTAGATTGAATGAATCTGTATTATTTTAGACTCCTAAACATGCTCACGTTTGGGCTGGAGGAGCAGTAGGGGGGCTGTAAGCCTCTACATCTCTCCATTCCTTGTCTTCACTTTTTAAAGATTTTTTTAAAATATGTATGTGTTTGCCTGCATATCTGTATATGTACCACATGTGTACAGTGCCAGAGGTGGCCAGAAGAGGGCACTGGATCCCCTGGAACTGGAGTTACATAGTTATATTCTACCATTGGGTGCTGGGAACCAAACTCATGTCCTCCACAAGAGCAAGTACTCTAACAACTGCGTCACCTTTCCAGCCCCTTAGTGTCTGTGACCACCTGGTCAGTGGAAGACACAACATTCTCTGATAGTTAAAGTTCACCAGCTTTAGTGTATGCATCTTAGATGCAGAGTTTGTCACATCTGTGCAACTCCTGGGTCAAAAGAGAAAATATATGGAAACCTTTATGAGATTTGAAAAATGAAAGCATGATAAGATTTGCTTTATTGAGTTATTATTTATTTGTTGCTGTGTTGGGACCCAAGCCCAAGTCTTGCGCATCCTAGACAAGCACTCTATCACTGAGCGACACCCCAATCCTTAATCCATTCTAGAAACAAAGGAAAAGGCAGCATACAGACAGGACTACAGGGTAGAAGTCAGGCTCATGGGGTTCATTGGCCAGTAACCTCTGACCTCCCTTCTCCCACCTTCAAAAGGACTTCCACAAAAGGCGTCCTCCCCCCACACCAAGTTGGAGGAAGCCTGTGTAAGACGAAGACAGAAAAGAGAGTGATGTTCAATAGAGGGTTTAGCAATTTTATTGGAAAAAACAAGTTCAGTCTATTGACACATAATGCACGCTATACATGGATTTGGTGGTTTATGATACATAATATTTGGTATTTGTTGCAGAATTATACAAACATATTTTTGATAACAAAAATCACCCTTCATCATTGATCAATATAAACATAGTTTATTTAAAATGTCATTAAAAATGGCTCAATATCTTTTCTATCGTATGTAAAATTCAAAAGGCAAGAGAAGGGAAACAAATTCTGCTAAACCAGTTTTAAACATTGGTGATAAAAATACTCGGTTACATGTGCAAACCTCTGCAACACTTGACTGAGTTTTTAAAAAACACCATCAGAAAGCAACGAAATGTAAGTAATGGGGAAAGCATGAAAGATGGCTCAAAAAGAGGGTCTGCGGGGAGAGAGAGGGGATGAGTCAGGGGGAGTTCCCGTGAACGGGGAGTAGATTCATCCTTTGCTACCTTCCCTGGGGGACCAGGAGTGAGCGTACTTCCTGTTCCAGACCTTCTTGGCACGGGCTTATCCCTTAACTCTGCCCCTCCCAGGATTCTTGGAGTCCCACTACTTGTGTCTGTTGCTATTGCCTTTTACTTTCCAGCTAATTTTCCCACTAATTCTAACTCGGGCATAATACGTATGCATGCCAATATGTTTTCTAGGTGCAAGTCTAAAAATCAGGAGCAATAGTAAACTTTTAAAGCATCATGGGGTCATGATATGACCTCACCCACATCCGACCTCTGGCTGCAGTCTGTGTGCATGGCCAAAAGAAGATGAGACCCTTTATTTTAAGTAGGAGCTCCAAACCAGCAGTACTACTCAGTGCTGTCAGACTGACCCAGGAGAAAGGCAGTGGAGCGAGTGAGAGTCAAAATACCACACTACATGTTTTTGCCTATCTCTATTTAAGTGAAAAGCTATCCTTTAAAATAAATGTTTGTGTTCACCTATAATATTAGATGTTCAAAATATAGAAGACAGAAGGCGTGTCTACATTTATACAACTTTTAGAACATGTATTTGTTCTTGGCAAATGAACTTGGCTTTGCAATTTTTCCATAATTGTTTTAATTATATTGAGGACTGCCATCAAATTTATAAAATTCTATACTAGAAATATTGACCTTTAGGGAACTAATAAATGAAAATAAAAACATTGTGCTTAAACTCTTGTTAGAAAAGGACTGAGTTTGTTTCTTATATAGAAACATTCCTGGACACAGACACTTCCTAGAAAACACTCATGTCTTCTCCCATAGGTGTTGAGGTAGGATGAGGGGGAATGAACCTGAAGTCAAGTATTCAGAGCACTGGAACAGAAGCCAGAAAGTTCAGGTTCAAGTCCTCAGTCCAGTAGAATTAACAGAGTAATTTTGCTAAATAGGTCATTTTTTTTAATATAAAATTAGAATAATTGCAAAATTTAAATATGATTATCCAAGATCCTTTTTAAATAAGTTTTCACAAATCTATACCATATGTGCAAATTGCTTTCAGAAGGCAGTGAGGGACAGAGACACACCCACCACCTCTCCCTCAGAGAGCACAGATTCAGGCTAGGAAGGAAGCCACCTTCTAAAGTGACCACCAGTAGGCAGTCGAACAGTGACAGGAGGGATGGCAGGCTTTAGAGTGGCAGTCTTAGTGTGCAGCCCCTGGGGATTTGGGTGTTGAAATGAACTTTGAACTTTAGCAAATTCTGGGTCAGACAGAGAAAATTCAAGAAGGAATTCTAGTCAGTGGAGGTGGGAAGCACAGCAAAGAGGTGTGCTGAGCACAAGCAGGTGTGGAGGCTCAGGAGGCTGACCTAGGAGTCACACAACAGGATGGTGAGGGGAAGAGGGGCTGAGGGCAGGGACAAGCTGAGGAGGAATGTGGACTTCAGCTTCTGCACAGGAGGATCCCCTGAGAGGTATCACAGCAGCACTGGGTGAGATAAAAGCAGCATCTTAAGGACGGTGAATCTGCAGGCTTGCAGGCTGTGCTTGCAGCGGGATGGAGAGCAGCACTGGGTGAGATAAAAGCAGCATCTTAAGGACGGTGAATCTGCAGGCTGTGCTTGCAGCGGGATGGAGAAGGGAAGTGCCGCAAAGCTGTCCTTCCAAAGAAGCAATACGCCCAGGGAAATGCAGAAGAGTAAGGAAGGCTAGTCATTCCAGAGAGGAGGTATGAGTAGGCAAAGCTGGTAGGTGGCTTCCTACTACTGCTATTTCAAGATTCGTTCTCCTCTGCAGAAAGCTAAGGTGACCGTGATGGTGGCATGTCAGGGCATCCTTTCTTTCTGAAACGACAGTTTCCAAGGTCTATACAATCCAGTTCTGTCTTTGGAAACTAAGTTCTGGTGTGTGGAAAATACAAGCCAAATGGAAATTCTGCCTTCCTCTGTGGGGTGTCAGTACATGTCCCCTGTAGCACTGCTCAGGAGAGCCACTTCTGGGCCAACGGCCCCTAAGCGTTCTCAAAGACAAATGTAATCCCACTGTCAGGCTGCACAGAATTTAATACAACCACCCATAGACGGTGGCCATTTCCTGCAAGCTTCTTTCCAGTTCACTGTCTCAGCAGTTAGCTAAGCATTCAGAGAGCAGCCGTTGCCCAGGGGCTTCCCAAGCCCTCTGCCTTGAACTGTTCCGGCCTGCTACTGTCACCAAGTCCTGCTCCCTTAACAATCTGATTCCAGGTGGCCTGGTGATAAGGGATTATACAGGTACATTCTATGACTGTACAAGTCAGTGGGAGGCACAGCCTAGCCCACAATGTCATAGGACAAGACACATCAAACAGCACTGGACGGATTTGCTGTGCTAGCCAAGAGGCAAGTGAACCTCATTCTGCAGTTTCTCCTTAGTGTCTGGCTGAGGATCTGGGGGTAATATTTGATGCTTGGATGAAGGAGACGGCCGTTGGGCTGGCATGTGGTACCTTACATTTTTCCAGAACCTGGTCTTTGCAGACTGTGGTCTCTCTTTAAAATCCCCTGACCAACGAATGGCCCCATGTTTCTGTTTAATGAATTTGATAGATTCTGGCATTTTCTCATAGTCTTGGATTTTCTCCAGCTCAAGCAGGACAACTTTGATTCCATCCTGAATGAGAGCATTATACATCGCTATTTGCTCTTCAGATGAGTGGCCCAGCCAGCTGAAGCCACCCATCTCTCTCATTAAAACAACAATCAGCCTTCTGCTTTTCTTTACGTTTTCATTAGTGACGTTGACAGAGTCTGAAAGACAGGGAACAAAATGTAATGAGTCAAGTTGAAATCTGTACATTCTTCCCAGAACCCCCAACTCAGAAATTTCTCCCCACACCCTCTACTATGGCTCTCAGTGTTTTTTGTTTTGTTTTGTTTTTCTTGCCTTGACTTGAGCCTAAAAGATGTTCTCATTTTATAGACCAGTTCAAACACTGGCCACAAAAGATGGTCACTGCTCTTAGAACTCAGAAAACTTCAGTCAAATTTTCTAAACTTCTTGCTGAATCATTTGATCTATAATACTCCTATCTTATTGTGCCAGTTGCAAAATAACTATTGGGTCTAACTAGTCATTATATTTCCAAAGGAAATTGTAAAAATCAATTAAATATTGATCTAACAAACTCTGGTATAAAATTATTATTAAACACAACTGAAGAAATTCTTATAATCTCCAAATATGTGCAACTGTGCCAGTCTTCTAGAAATGCAGAATTCAAACTCAGCAACTAATTTCACAATAAATTTGAGATCTCTTGCTTTCTATACACACCTTCTCCAACATAGTCATCTCTTCCGTAGATGAACAGCTTATATCCAAACTGGTCCTCCAAGACTTCAGGCAAGAGCTTAAATACAAAAATATCTAGGTTTGAGGTGGCTCCTTCCCTGAAGGTCTTTGGATATAGAATATATGCGTCATAGGTCTTTCCATCTGAAGCTAAAGGGAAAGGGAAATATATTTAGACTCATGAGGAAAAATAAGAGATTCGACAGTCACTACCACAAACATTCCCTTCATAATGATTAATCCTTTTTGTACAACTGTATGACTGAAAGAACAATTCCAAAAGCATGTCTTTTTAAATTTAATGTCATGGTAATTTTTATTTTTTCTTGTGTACTCCTTAACATAATTTTGGGGAATAACATGCCTTTTCACACATTTTTCTGTTTACATTTAAATTTTTCCTTATATATTTAAATAGTAACAAAGTATGTCATCAGATTATAAATTTCAACTCTTAACAAAAGCCTATTATATCAATCTTTTCAATGTGTAAAATGCAATGTAAATAACAGTATTTTACATACACTGACATTAACTTTTAAAATAGATTCACAACTTTTCTTTGTGAAAAAATATATTTTATTATTTGAGAACTTCATATATGTATGTAACGTATTTGGATGATTTGTACCCCCCACTTCTCTCTCTCTCTCCCAACTCCTCTCAGAGCCCTCCTCCAACATAGCTCCCTCCTAACTTAATGCCCTTTATTTATAACTCATTTAGTACACTGTGCTGTTTGTAAGTGCATGAGTATAGCACCATCCACTGGAGGATGGGCAACCAACAGGGACTACATCCCTGAGGAAAACTCACTCTCTCTCTCCCAGCAGCCATCAACTGCTAATAGCTCCTCAGCTAGAAGAAGGGCTTCATGAGCCACTCCCCTATCCATGACTGAAGGTTGACTGGCTTGATCTTATGCATCTCTTGTGCAGGCAACCACAGCATTTGTGAGGAACAACTTCTTTTCTAACAGTAACAAATTGGACATTGCTTCTGTTCCTCCTTGAACTTTTATTTCCATTCTACTTATACAGTTCTGTCTGTTACATTCAAAAGTTTTAAAATACGTTTGCAACAAATTATTGCATGATGAGATTTCTAACTTCATTATCTGTTTTTATTAATATATTAATTGTAAAAAATAATGGGTTACATTACATTTTTATACATGTATATATAGGGTCCTTGATCATATTCCCCCTCCACTACCGTTTCTTGTCCCCACACCCCATAATGCCTTTTCAAAGTCCCCATGTGTGAGTCTTCTTTTTATTGGGTTTCGCTACAAAATTGTTCTCATATTGCATTTAATGACTACCTCATATACATTCACTATGACAATATCCTATCACCTTTTTCTTATCCTATTCCCCAAGCATCTTAAACCTAAATTCTACTCATTCTTCTTTTTATGTATTATGATATTAGTGAAAGAAAAAGAGAGATATGTTAAAATCTATTCACTTTTTTCATTTGAACATGGATCATGGAGCATTCTAGGGTATATGCAGCATAGAACATGTCCCCCCAAACGGATTCTGAACAACCAGCTTACAGACAGATGTTTTAAATATGTGTATCCTGCCAATATTCAACTAAAGAAGTAACTTAGGAGACTAGAGAGCTAGCTCAGAGTTTAAGAGCATTGATTGCTCTTGAAGAGGCCCTGGGTTCAGTTCCCAGCACCCACATGGCAGCTTATAACTACCTGTAACTATAGTTCCAGGGGATCTAACGCCCTCTTCTGCCCCCCAAGGGCACTGCCTGAACATGGTGCACTTATATACATGCAAGCAAAACACTCATACACATAAAATAAAAAATAATAAAATATTTTTTAAAAGAGCAGCACTGAGGCCAGTCAATTATAAACCATATGAGAATAATTGCTATTCTTGTGTAAGGTGATATTCATCACTATAAGCCTTTGGTGAAAATACTCTAAATCATCTTCTACCAGTCTAGAGAAAATATTTCATAAAATTATACCTTTAGGAGGGAGAAAATCAGAGCAAGAATCCCTGTACCAAAGCACAATGTCCACCTTGAAGATTTTACAGATGAAAACACAGCATATAATTACAGCTGTTAAGATGACAAAGGTCCCAATCAGGTAATTCTTGAAATCAGGGACTACAGCAACAACAGCAAAAAAGGAGAAATAGATTAGAACTAAAAGGAGCTAAAACTTTGGCAATAGTGACTTGAATATTTTCACTGCAAAGAAAGCATACTTGAGAACAGCTCTGCATTTGTATCACATCAATTCATTACTGTTAGTAGTAGACACCAATGTGCAAAGCTACGTAGCATAGGTACTATATAAAAGGAAGGTGCCTTCTTTTAGGTTTTCATCTAAATAGCAAAGTGTACATTAGGAGAAAACCTCCTGGAGACCACAGTGGTAGAGTACTCCACAGCACAATAGGGAAAGTCAGAAGCATGCTACGTGATTTTCTGAGGCCAGAGAGTCCCCTGGAAATAACCAAATGCTGGAGGAAAGAAAAGAAGAGAGACTTGAGGAATTTTGCACATTTCCACAGTCTCTTGGTCTTGCCTCTTAATTATCCATGCAATGATGACAGAAGTCAGGGGGAGAGAGATGTGAAAAGCAGGAGGTTAAAGAGGTTGCTGAATAAGTCAACAGAGGAAAGGAGAAGAAAGTGCCTTTTCAATGTCAGGACACATGTAGCATCCAGAAGAAATCTAAATGCCTTATTATTTTACTTTTATGATTTACTTTTAGTTTTTATTTTTAATGGTGTGTGTGTGTGTGTGTGTGTGTGTGTGTGTCTGTGTGTACATACAGTGCGGTGCCTGCAGAGGTCAGCAGAGGGTGTTTGAGCCCTGAAACTGGACTCACAGGTGGTTGCGAGCCACCCAGTATGGGTGCTAGGACCTGAACAAGGGTCCTCCACAAGAGCATCACGTGTTTTTAAACACAGAGTCACCTCTCCAGTTCCCTCTTTGCCAATTTAGATTTTTGATCCATCTGGGATGAACTTTCATACAAGGTCAAAATTAAGATGTGGAATTTTCCACACTGATGAAAAGTTGGTTCAATGGACAGGTCAGTTACAGTCTTTATCACTGTAGATTCATATAAGATCATGATACTGTTAGTATAAATCTTCCACATGTGCCATTCTTATTTAAGACCATTTTGACTATTCTTGGTCATTTCGGTCTTCATTTCAGAATAAACATGTCCATTTACACATGTGCCCATGTCAACACATTTATACAAACACATACATACACATGAACAAATGATGATATTTGATTGGAATTATTTTCAATTTATAAATTCATTTTGGGATAACTAATATTGCTAGAGTATTATCTTTTGACTTATGCACATTGTATTTCCCTCCATCTGTTTCTTTCTTTTCAATACAGATTTTTAGGCTTCATTATGGAGGACTTGAATGGCTTTTTATATGTTTTTAAAAGATACTTGATGATGTTTTTATACTATCATGTGTTATCTTTTAAATTTAATATCTATTTATATGTTGTTAGATCAAGTGAACTTGATATATTCATTTCATTCTAATAGTTTGAAGGAGTTTTTATAAAGATATTTTTCCATGTCTACATTAATAAAAACTCTATTTTGCATGTGTGTGTGTGTGTGTGTGTGTGTGTGTACATGCCCATGTGTGCAAATGTGTGCACTGTGAATGTGCATGTGGAGGCCAGAGGCTGACATCAGGTGTCTTCCTTCAATTGCTTTCTACCTTCTTTTTTGAGGCAGAGTCTCTCACTGTACCTGGAGCTCAACAATTTGACTAGACTGACTGGCCAGCCAGCCCCAGCAACCCTCCTGTGTCTACTTCCCCATGCTGGGGTTACAGGCACACAGTCATACCCAGCTTTTTTGTGGGTGCTGAGGATCTAAATTTAGATCTTCATATTTGTGCAGCAATTATGTTACTCACTAAGCCAACTCCCTAAATCCAAATGCCTTATTTTTAATTCAACTATATAGCATTAAAAAATATTTCACAAATATTTTCAACACTATATCAGTTTTTGAGAATGAATGGCTTCAGAAATATTGCTGACAAATAGGATATTTAGGCTTCCCCTATATATCCATCACATGGTCATTTGCTCAAAAATATCCACTGGGGCATGTCCCTGGATAGAACTCCTTTATTAAACCTCACCCACTCAGAACTCAGCGACCACTGTGGAAGAGGGGTGTGGAAAGACTTTAACAGCCAGGGGTGGTGGATGACCACAAGGAAACAGTTTTCCAGGCTTCTGGGAACTTGCTCATATGAACTTACAGCAATGGTGACAGTGTGCACAAGACCCATGCAATCTCAAACCAGACAAAAACCCAGCATAGAACTGGGGAAACAGGCAGCAGGCCTCAACCTTAGTGAAGGAACAGCTGATCACTGCTGGATGAGGGAGAGTTGATCTTCTTTAAGGAAGTGATACTGGATAGGCTGATCAGGTTCCAGTGGATGAACTCACACCAGAGGGACATCTTGGTACACAAACTTGACATAAATGAAATGAAATCCAGACAGAACGAATGAAATCCAGTGGCGGGGGCAATGCAGGAGGCGCAGATAGGGGAAGAGAATCTAAGTAGTATCAAGGTGTAGTGTATTAAATATACAAAAACTCAATAAAAATATTTATAGAAAAAATATTCACTAGGTTCTTGCAATACAGCAAACTTAAGTTGCTACTAGCTCTGAAAAAAGAATAATTAGTAAGATAAATGGTTGGCAACCTCACATGATTTTTAGTCAAAAAATGAAGAGCTCTTATGCGAGGGACATAACAGTGTCACTAAAGCCATAAGCTGGGGTCAGGCCAGGCAGCAGAGCCCAAAAGCTGCCCATAAGAATGGAGAGTTCAGTCCAAGCAATGAAAAAGACAAGAAGCTGCTCACTGAAGGTGTGAAGAATGTTCTAGACAGAGGAAATAGCATCAGAAACTCCAGGTTATGAAATCTGCTATAGTTAAGCAACAACAAAATGTCTAATCAAAAGTTTGTTACTTACTTGGATATATTAATTGGATATAAGCTGCATCGAATGTATTTGAAGTCCTGACAAAACAGGTAAATGGATACTGATAAAAGTGACTTTTGACCTCCGAAATATTAAGTGTTGTGATGTGTGTATACTTTCTTTTGGCTGCAAGATTCCCCATTCTGTTCGAAAGAGAGGGAGAAGGAGAATAAATGAAATGGCGTAGGCAAGATGCACCACTACGAATAAGACAGAGACCCCCAGTTTATTTCTTTATTTGTAACATAAGTTGCAGCTGAAAAAAATCACCTTCCCAGTCATAGGCATTACAGTCTGTTAGCAAAACCAATCTGAAATTGTATAGTGCCAAGGTCACTGTCAGTAGCAAAGAAATCAAGTTAAAATAACCAGCTTCCAAGAAGAAAAATGTAGACCTAAGCATTCTAGTCTCCATGGGGCCTATGTTAAACAATGGCTGGGGCAGCTGATAAAGAGTTTTGCAGAAGATGGGAAAGGAAGGAGGAGCAACAGGAAGAAAAGTGATCCTCATCCAACCAGTAGAGTCTCCAAGGTAGAGGGTCTTATTCTTGATCCCCTTTGATGAGTCTTTTTTAAACTACTTACTTAGTCAACATGAATTCACTCTAATGAGTAATTCATTGCAATGCCATAGCAATGCATAACAGAATGCAAGCAAAAGGCTTTTTAACTGGTTTGGAATTTGTACAGTAACATGTATTTTTACTGTAAACATAAACTCATACAAATATTGTCTAGCTTACTTAACCAAGCTCAGAATGGCTACTGAAGACTAGAGAAACTTTCTGCATAGAACTTTAATATCGAAATTGGCTGGCATGCTTACTGCTGATAGTCTTCCACCAACAGTGGGTCATCCTCTTCGATTTCTGATCCATTCCATTTCCAGTAAACAAGGTCGGTGAGCTGGCCCGTGACATTACAGATCAATTGTATCATGGATCCTGAAAAGCAATGTGCTTTGAGCCATAAGATGAGCTGATTTTTATTTCAATCTATTTATATTTAAAAATGGCTATTGAATAAAAAATTTAAATTATAGAAAAGCAAAATGAAAGAGGAGGATTCCCCTTACCCTCATCACCCAGACACCACCACAATTAGTTACTTTATGGATCTCATCCCTGGGCTTCTCTGTGTAGGTAGGCAACTTGTGAATGGGATCTTATTGTCCGCTACTTTGTTATTACTATGGACTGGGAACTTTAGGCTCCATGATTAGTCCTCCAAAATACACTGTTAGTATTAGGCTGCAAAATGTTTCAAAATAGAGCTATATACTAACAATTTACCTATTGCTAAACAGAATTTCTCATGTTTCATTATTATGATTAATATTCCAAAGGACTTACTGCTTATATCACTGTTTTTACATATCAGGAAGTGTTCCTTTGAATAAAAACTTGGAAGTAGAATCGAATTAAAGGGCATACATTTTCTAGTAGTAGAGAGGATCAAACCCAGGGCCTTGCTGCATCCCCAGTCCTTGCAAGGAGACATATATTTTCAAAGCCAAACCCCTCTTGAGTGAGGTAGTATCAGTCCACTCATTCTCCAGGAAGGTATGCAACCATCATTTCATCCCAAACCACCAGAAAACAAGAGGTTTGGACTAAGCATTTCCCACTGAGAGATGAAAAGAAAGCTACTTCAATTTTCATCTGATTTTTAAAGAAGATTTTTTTTTTTTAATTTTTAATTGTATGTATGTATGTGGTGTGGGTATGGGCAGGTAAGTTAAGGTACCCATAGAGGCTAGAGATGTCTTATCCCCTCTAGTTGGAGTTATAGGTGATTGTGAGCTGCCCAACATGGGTGCTTGGAACCCAACTCGGGTCCTCTGGAAGAGTAGTATAAGCTCTTAGCCATTGAGACATCGCTCTAGCCTGCTGATTTTTCTTTTTTTAAGCAAGTGATGATAGAAATAAAACCCAGAGCCTAGAGCATGCTAGATGAGCACTCTACCACTGAGCCACACCCAGCCCTCCTGCATTTCTTGAATTCATGGTGAATTAACAAATTTTTCTTAAGCTTAGTATTCCCTGGCTCTTTATGTGTGGCACCTATTACTTAGCAACATTCTCATATAAAGCTTGTTGGTGCTTGGGCACTCTTTACTTTATTTTTTTATTTTTTCACTTTTTTTGGTCTTTTTGAGACAGGGTCTCCCTATAGCCCCAGCTGCTCTGGAACTTACTGTGCAGACCAGGCTGGCCTTGATCTCACAAAGATCCACCTGCCTCTGCCTCCTGAGTGCTGGGACTAAAGGCGTGAGCCACCACACTTGGCTTGGGTACCATTTATTAATAAAGAACATTAATTCTTTATTATACATGAAAATCCTCTGGATAACTTTCCAGGTTAGTTGCCTTTTAAAATAAAGCAGAATTTTTTGTTAATGGAAATTCTTTGATGTATTTTTTTTTTTACTTTGCATGGTGAAAAATTATAAACATTTTTCTTTATTGTATCTACCTTCACTCTTTTATCCCCTAAAATTCCTCTCTCCTGAAAAATCAGGAAAATATCAAGGTACATTTTATTTAAGTGTTTAATGTTTTTATTCTGGAATCTAGGTATAACATAATGATAGTTTCAGAAAACTTTACAGTAAAGGTGTTTTTTATGGTGATTGTTTGTTTGTTTGTTTTGAGGCAGGGTTTTACTATTGAGCTGGCCTGGAACTCACTGTGTAGATCAGGCTGGCCTCAGTCTCACAGACATCCTCCGCCCCTGCTTCCTGAGTGCTGGGATTAAAGGCATGTGCCAACATTCCTAGCTAAAACTTAAAGCTTTTATCCAAGTAGTGGAACCTAATTCCAGAACCACTCATTGATATTGTTTCCCTTTCACTAATTTATAATGTTGCCTTTATCTCTTTTGTTTAGGACCTTTTCAGTAGAGGCAACTATGTGTACTTATACTTCCTCTCTGTTCTCTTTTTTATGCATATGTGTGTGCATGTGCATTTGCATGTACGTGGTATGTACAAGTGCAGGTGTATGAAACTGAAGAGCAATCTTGGGTGTCATTCTCAGGAACAACGTCTACCTCTTTTGAGACAGGGTCTCTCCTTAGCCTCGAGCTCACCAATTAGTCAAACTGTTTGGTTATTGCTGCAGGGATGCACCAGTCTCTGCCTCCCAGTACTGGAAGTACAAGTATGTGCCACCACACCCAGCTTTTTTTTTTGACAGGGTCTCCATGTAGCCCCAGCTGGCCTGGAACTCACTATGAGACCAGGCTGGCTTTGAACTCACAGAGATCTGCCTGCATCTGCCTCTCGAGTGCTGTGATTAAAGGTGTGCACCACCACGCCAGGCTCAAACCCAGCTTTTTTACATTGGTGTTGGGAACCTGGGGATGGAACTCAGGTCCTCACAAGTACTTTACTGACTGAGGTATCTTCCCCTGCATCATTTTTGTTTTTTTTTCAGTTTTTGAGAGAGAATCTATTTGTGGCCGAGGCTGGCCTCAAACACATGATCCTGCTGCCTCAACTGAAAGCTTAGCTGCAGTAATAACAAATCCTGTGCCAGTCAGATAAATTACATCTCTTTCCTAAGTATTTTGAATTTGGCCTGTAGCTGATGTTTGCATAAGTCTCTGTAGGAAAGCCAGTGTGGGAAAATCAGACATGGCTAGGTTTTTTTCCACAAGAGGCAAAATAATAAATAAATAAATAAATAAATAAATAAATAAATAAATAAATAAATAAATAAATAAAAATAAATAAGTAAATGGCTATAGATATGGCTCAGTGTTTAAGAGTATTTATTGCAGAGGACCTGGGTTTGGTTCCCAGCACCTGCTGGTGACTCACAACTTGTCTGTGACTCCAGTTTCAGGGGATCTGATGCCCTCTTCTGGCCTTTTAGGGTACTAGACACACACGTGATGCACACACATACATACAGGCAGACACTCATACACATAAAAGAAAAATAAATAAAGCTTAAAAATAAAAGTTAGATGACACAAGTATTTAAAGCCTGTGACAACTTTTTTTAATTCAAAAACTAAAAAGAAGTCATTGAAAGAGTGCATAGGGTTCGGTGGTCAGGGGGGGAGGCATGGATAGGGGAGGGGATCTGGATGTGAGTGGGAAATATTGTATGAAATTTTAAAAGCTAGGGGCTGGAGAGATGGCTCAGCAGTTAAGAGCACTGACTGCTCTTGTAGAGAACCCGGGTTCAATTCCTAGCACCCACATGGCAGCTGTGAACCATCCTCAACTCCAGTTCCTGGGGAATCCGAAGCCCTCTTCTGAACTCTGTGGCATTGCACAACATGAGTGCATTCACATACATGCAGGCAATACACTCATACACATAAAAATAAAAATAATAAATAAAATATTAAAGAAAAAAAGAA